AGCACAGCATAGCTGGAATACTCCATTATGAGTCAACCACGTTGTCTGGAGACTAAGGAAGACGATGCACGTTAACTGAGTAGACTGAAGAGCAGAATTACTTATTTTCTAAAAACAAAATATTAGAACCAAGAGACATACAGCTAAAAGAAAGAATCTACATGAAAGGAATTGCTTTCCTTGCTGGATGTGGGTTTACAAAGAAGACAACAGTTTTAGGATGGGAAATTAACTTTACTAAGTATCTACACCATGTACTAGGGCTTGCCATATTGTTTAATTCTTGTCAATCATGTATAATTATCAGTATGATGTTTATATTTTTAAGATCTAAAAAAATGTGACAGCTGGGCATGGTGGAGCATGCCTGTAGTCCCAGCACTTGGGAGGCAGAGGCAGGTGGATCTCTGTGAGTTCAAGGCCAGCCTGGTCTACATAGTGAGCTCCAGGCCAGCTGGGGCTATAGGGAAACCATTTCAAAAAGACCAAAAAAAAAAAAGTGAGAGAATGAATGCCATGGGTCAACAGGTGCCTGGAGGCCAGAAGGTGTCAGAATCCTAGATGGGTGAAGGGATTTAAAATCCAGTTCTCTGAAGGGCAGCCAGCATTCTTTTTTAAAAAAAAATTTACTTACTATTTTTATTTTATGTGTATGTGAGTGTACTGCCTGCATGTAGGTAGGTACACCCATCTCATGCAATGTCAGTGGAGGTCATAAGAGGGTGTCAGATCCCCTATAACACGGTGTCAGGTCCCCTAGAACTGGAGTTAGGGTCAGTTGATTGCCACCAGTGGGTGCTGGGAACCCAACCGGGTTCCTCTGCAAGAGCAACCAGTTCTCTTAACTGCTGAGCCGTCTGTCCAGCCCCGTGAGAGCAGCAAGCATTCTTAACGACAGAGCCCCCATGATGTTTATTTTTTAGAGAACAATATTAATGACAAAGGAGTTATATAATCTGTTCAATATTACTCAGTACATGTTATTGCTTCTTTTGGTTCATTCAAAAAAATTTTTTGTAGGCCTGACGTGGTGGTGCACACCTTTAGTCCCAGCACTTGGGAGGCAGAGGCAGGCGGATTTGAGTTCGAGGCCAGCCTGGTCTACATAGTGAGTTCCAGGACAGTTGGGGCTACAGGGAGACCCTGTCTCAGAAAGACAAAAACAAAAAACATTACAAAAATTGGTATTCATATATAGTCTAATACGAACTTAAAATTCACCATAACGTTTAGTTAATTTTTTAGCTTAACCTTCTAGTAAATCTTTAGCTTCACCGATTTTGGCTGCTATGTAAGGAGACCCTTTGTCCAGATGATTTAAGAGCATTATTTGTTGATGAGCATCACTATCTTCCCTTTATTGGCAGTGGGACTCACACTTAGTATTAATGCTGCCTCCCGTTTTATCATTTTGGGTTCAAATCCACCTCTGTAGTAGCCACCACTGACAGCAGATTTTGGTAGACTTTAAAAACTTGTTTTACTTGAGGCTCCACATGATTCACAGCTTGTAAAACATAAGGCCATGGCACCGCCACACGGACCTGGACACTCATCCCAGCCAGCACTGCACAGCATACCTGTCCCACTGAACCCCACCTTATTTTACTATTTAAAAAATTTTAAGTGTATGAATGTTTTGAGTATAAGTGCACCTGTGCATGCAATGCCCCTAGTAGCCAGAAGAGAGCATCAGATCCCCTGGAATTGGAGTTACAGACAGCTGTTAGCCACCGTTTTTTAGAATCTCTGGGTCCTCTGCAAAAGTGGTCCGTGAGTGCTCTTAACCACTGAGCCATCTCTGCAGGCCCATGTTACTGCTTTTTTAATGATCTCATAAAGTCTCCAAAAAAGATATTTAAGACAGTGAGACCATGGGCTGGGGGCATGGTGGTGTGTACCTTTAATCCCAACACTAAGGATATAGATCTGTTGAGTTAGAGGTCAGCCAGGACTACAAAGTGAAACCCTAAACCCTGCCTTTAAAAGAAAAACAAAACAAGACAAAAAAAAAAAAAAACCCAACAAAATGCACACAAAAACCAAACCCCAAACACAACAAAACAAGCTGAGATAGTGACCCAACCAGAATGAAGATTCTTTTTCTTGCACTTACAAAAATCAAAAGATGTTTGTGTTAAGTTATTCAAAGATGACTTGTGATTGCCTCAGAATTATAGACTACCAGAAGACTTGTCATTCATTCATTCATTCATTCATTCATTCATTCATTCATTCATTCATTCATTCATTCATTCATTCATTCATTCATTCATTCATTCATTCATTCATTCATTCATTCATTCATTCATTCATTCATTCATTCATTCATTCATTCATTCATTCATTCATTCATTCATTCATTCATTCATTCATTCATTCATTCATTCATTCATTCATTCATTCATTCATTCATTCATTCATTCATTCATTCATTCATTCATTCATTCATTCATTCATTCATTCATTCATTCATTCATTCATTCATTCATTCATTCATTCATCTTTCTGAGACAGGGTCTTCCTGTAGCCCCAGCTGGCCTGGTCTTGAATGCAGAGCTCTGCCTTCCTCTGCCACCCAAGTGCTGGGACTAAAGGTGTGCACCACCATGCCTGGCTAGACTTGTCTTTTAACACTGTCATCTCAAGGCACAGAAACGATGCCATAGTAGCATAAAGGTTTACTAGACAGCCTTACATGCAACAGAACATGAATACCTTTACTTCATCTAATTTTCAGTGACCTTATCACTATAGTACAGATACCTGCCTTAGGCTTCCCTCCCTATCCCCCTAGACAAAATCTTGCTGTATGTAGCTCAGATGGCCTAGAACTTATCTTTTTTGCTCTAGCCTCTTATGTACTGGAATTAAAGACATATGCCACTGAGCCCAATGCTTTATACTTTTAGATGATTATTTAAGTAAAATTCCCACTAGAGTAAGCGTCCTATCAGCCATTGTTCTCAATTTTCTTTCCTTTTGGTAGTACTGGTCACTGAACCTAGGGTCCTATGTGTGCTAGGGAAGTGCTCTACCAATAAGCTACATTTCCCTCAATCATATTTTTCTTTTAATTAATTTTTATTTTATGCGTGTTATGCCTGCAAGCATATAAGTGCACTGGTATCAAGCTCAGGTCTTCTGCAAGAACAGCCAGTGTTCTTAACCACTGAGTCATCTTTCCAGCCCCTATAGTTTTCTTTTTTAAAAAAGTTCTCCATTTGTACCATTCAACAGCTGCCCAATCTCTATCCTTTGTGAATTCATTACCTCTTCCTGTATTTAATCTTCTTTAACAAGTTAATTCTATTTTACCTTTAAACAAGTTAAAGACTAGCTGGGCCTGGTGGTTCATGCCTTCAATCCCAGTAGTCAGGAGGCAGAGGCAGGTGGATCTCTGAGAGTTCAAGGCCAGCCTGGTCGTCATAGCAAATTGCAGGACAGCTGGGGCTATAGGGAGACTGCTTCTTAACAAACAAACACATGAAGCCACCATATTAAAGCGAGAGGTAAGAAATCACAGACATG